CATAGTCGGATTTGATATATTTTTACCGCTCATTAACTTCATGCATTTGATGATGTAGCATGGTGTGACAAGGTCTGGTTCAGTATTATATGGTGTGGTAGTGATGGTATAAGACATATTACATGTTATATAAGGACTGTATAGGCTAATTGAATGGCAGAGTATAATAATGAAATTCTTACTCTACCTTGGTTTAAAGAAGAACCCCATCCCATGACTGGCACTATTTGGCGACTCTTCAGGCAAGTTCAATAAAATTAGGAAGAATGTAACAAAATGAACCAACATTCCAAGAAGCACAACAGAGTCTCGACCTTTGGCAGTTATACGTTGACCAAATATACCAAACACCCCTCCACCTGAAAAAATGACACTGTTTTAATATTCAACAGTTTCATACAAGCAGAACTGAGGGGGACGTCTTTGGACGGCCAAATTCAGGGGAAAGGGGAATTATTCTCATTGAGTTCCCGAAATATATTAATATATCTGAAACGAAATAGCTTCAATTTTCAATATTATTATACATTTGATGGTGTACCTGGTCGAATAGTAGCACAAATCTCAGAAAGTCAGGAGTGTTTGAAAAATCTTGAATGAGCTTAAGTAGGTTGAACATGCAGATACTGACATGAAGTAACGTAAACATCTAATACTGTTTGAGAGTCTCAGACCCAAACTTTTTGGTTTTCTTCGACTCCCGACCCCCCTACTGTAGATTTGTCATTATACCAAAATTGGACGTCCTCTTTCGCGATCCTGGCTAACACCTGAATTGACACAGTCGAAATATTTGAAACTATGAATGTGATTGGGGTGATCTTACCTAAAATTTCACCAATTCCTATAAAGACTCCGGAGAGCCCAATTAATCTTTTAGATTCAGCGAAACGGAGAGTATTTCCTATAACACAAAAATATCACAATATCAGTAACTCTTCTTCAATCCAATTCACAGATTTCACGGATACTGACCGACACTGGTTCCATAAACTCCACTGAAGAATGTCAATTCTAATCCTAAAATAAAACAAAACTAATTTTAATAGTGAATCTTAAAAATACTGCCCTTCATTATATACATGTAAACATAAAATAGTTTTACCTGTATATACAAAGACGATATTTAGACATAACATTGGCTTCGTAATGAATAACCTAAGCGAGCTGACTAAAATAAAATAAAAACATCAATGTTAACAACAAGGCATGAGAAAGTCCGCCAGCATGGCAGGAAATTTTTTTAATCTCACAGGAAATTTTTAAGGAAAAGCAAGATATTAAGAATGAAGCTCGAGAAATTTCAAAAATCAGCATTAAAGTAACAAACATCACAATTAGAGCATAAATACAACAATCATAACATAAAAATTTGTATCATGTGACAGTGCTACGACTGTCTGTTAATTTGAATTACAACCAAAATTCAAATTCATAAAAAAAATTGACAGGAAATTTTTGGTCTGGGAAGCCTGCTGCCAGGAAGAAAAATATTTTATCAAGGCTTGGTTAACAACAAAACTAATTCTCCCATGCACCTTAGCTGTGCTACGCGAGGCAACAAAAAATTACCTATACTACAGAAATTAACGATCCTGATCTTTTTATCTGAAGTTTGCAAAGAGCTTGGGCAATTCTTTGTTTCCAGTCGTTGGCATTAGTTTTGTAAGCTAGTTTTCGGCCAGCCATATAACGCTGTGGATTGATAGGGACTGGTGATTGACCGATTGTGCAACAAATACAATAGGAAATTACCGATGCCGCAATCTGCCAGATACTGATGCCGATTTATAATGACGTCATAATATCAGTTGACCGAGTAAATGTGACATCATTCATGTCGATTTTTTAACGATAATTTCCAACGTAACATGTTACTGCAACCAAAGATCGTTATAGGTAAACTACGTCAAGCGTTCCTCTTTTGACTTTCTAAATTGATTGCAATATTCCTCATTACCTTTGCAATTAAAAATACTCCCTTGCAAATCCCTTGAGGGAATTTACAACGTTGCTAAAAGCCGATTAAATTTTCCTCATTCCGGTTAGAAGTTCTTAACTTCCTAACAAAAATAATCCACCAATGACAACGCTGAAAACAGAACAGGAAGTCAGGAAAGGAGGTATTTAAAATGAAGTGTTTTTTGCATTGGAATGTTGCAACAGCCGATAGGGAAATTGCAAATTCCCCAAAGGGTTTGCAAAGAGTTTTTCAAATTTGCAAAGCAAATGAGGAAAATTCCAAATGAGTTAGGAAGTCAAAAGAGGAACACTTCACGTAGTTTACCTGTAAAACCTTTAATAAATGGACGCTTCACGCATTAATTTAACATATTGCACAGTAAAAACAAATTGGTTAAAATGACCAATTTAAATTGGTTGCAACCAATTTAAATTGGTCATTTTAACCAATTGAAGAATAGGTTAGTCTGACATGACCAATTAAATATTGGTCATTTCGACCAATACATAATTGGTTGAATTTTTAACCAATTTAAAATGGTAAATTTAACCAATTTCTTTTGATCAGTCAATGTTGAATTTCCCAAAATAACCAATAAAAATTGGTCATATCCCCAACCAATTTAAAATTGGTCATATGCATAACAAATTTAAATTGGTCATCTCTATAACCAATTTTAAATTGGTCGAATCCATAACCAATTTTTAATTGGTCAAATCCCGTAACCAATTGGAAATTGGTCAAATGCATAACCAATTTTTTAATTGGTCAAATCCATAACCAATTCGAAATTGGTCAAATCAGTAACCCATTCTAAATTGGTCAAATCTGATCTGGCAGTGTTTTCTGTTATCCAATTCTGCATGTAATTTATTTCTGTAATGCATCCATAGCTTGTTGGCCTTTGTTGTTTTACTCAGTCAAACACTAGATTTTACTCGTAAAGAGGGGAGACCTTTAGTCAATACACCACAGACACAGTGTCAGTGACAGTGGCTAAACTTTGATATTGATTTTATATTTCAATTGTATTTATTTAGTTTACCTGGTCAAAATTTGCCGCCCGAGTTAATTTTAAATTCTTCATGAGTTCATGGAAACTCTATTTACACAAAATATTTATAGTGTTTGTCGTGTGACATATAAACATGCAAGCGAAAATTCTCACGATCGACGAGCGCGGTTTCGCACGGACAGGCTGGGACCTAGTTTTCCGACAACATGCGCAAAGCCTCCCGGGATAGCGTCATCACACTGACGCCGCCATATTTATTCGAAATTTTTATTATTCATTTTGATTTTTTGTTGCCTGTAAAAATGAGTATTTGAAGGCAAGACGATGCCTTTTAACGAGGATAAAACATCATGGATGATTGCCTAGCATGCAGGTAAGAATATTGTTATGTTTTCTATATAATAGAGCAATTTTGAAACGAAATATTTGCAATTTTCATTCGTGAATTTTGAACCATGTGTTCCGGCTTAAAATTTGAATTTGCCGCGACAATATTTGAATTAAAACGATAATATAAATACATTAGTTTTACAAAGGCTTGTATTTTACTCAGCCCTAGTTTATATATCGAATAATATGACAGATAATTTGTAACAATGTTTCTTGTCTAGAATAATATAGCTTTATAATTGGCATCATTCTACATTTCTACTCAATCCTCATATCATGTGCCCACTTAAGCACGTCCCAGCTAAACATGGCTTGAGAGAATTTATTGACTTTAATAATATCAACTGCTACTTTCATAAGTTTCAAATGTTTATTCATATATATATACAGGTAAGTGGGTCGGTTTAGATAAAAATGTCAATTTGATGTGTTATATGGCAACTTGATTTATTGACAGTTAAGTCCTAAAAATGCATGAATAATAATACTCCAATAAGCCTAATTTTCAGCACTTTGTTAAAATTAAATGTTATTTTAACTAATGCCGGACAATTTTATTTGTCCAGGGAAGTGTCTAGCTAGACTCTGCCCATGTTTCATGTTGACATATTTAGATGCAAATATTTTACCTAACACTCCCCACTTTAACTACTGCGATATTTAACTCGATGGTGGAGTGCTTGCCCATATTTCACGTTTTAAGTATTAACACCTAAGAAGCAATTTCCTCTTCTAAATGTTACCTACTTTAAGTTCTTTGAAGGGGTGTAGAGAATAGTCTTTTTTGCTATCCTGCTGGATACAGGATAGGTTGGATAGTTTTTGCTATCCAGCCAGATATGTACACGATATAGTATGTTGGATAGTTGAAAATATCCAGCCAGATTCATGGTATTATCCAAATATATATGGTTAATGCCTCATAAATTTAAGGTCACTCCTTTAAATGGCGATGTGCCCAGCAGCCTGAATGCTCCCCACTGTATTATTTTACTTGTCAGTTGTCAGGAGGAGGGTGCTGACAGTCAATGGGTTAATCAGACTATCTTCCCATGCACCCTATCAACCCTTCAAGTGGCAATGTGCCTCACTTTATTATTTTACTGTCTAATTAGATGTCAGACAATTTCACTTGTCAGGAGGAGAGTGCTGCCACTCAATGGGTTAATCAAACTATCTGTCCATGCACCCTACTAACCCTTCAAGTGGCAATGTGCCCCACTTTATTATTTTACTGTCTAATTAGATGTCAGACAATTTCACTTGTCAGGGGGAGAGTGCCGCCACTCAATGGGTTAATCAAACTATCCGTCCATGCACCCAACTAACCCTTCAAGTGGCAATGTGCCCCACTTTGGATGTCAGACAATTTCACTTGTCAGAGTGCTGTCACACAATGGGTTAAGTGCTTCACCTTCCCTAAATTTATTTCCACTTCCCCCACTATTTCCACCAAAAATCCAAAATCCATCCTTGGTATTATGGGAACTGTTTTCATTGGGAGATTGTTGATGTTCTCTAAGTGTGTTTCGTCAGTAATATCAATCATATAGTCAGTCTTGATATGCATGCACTTATCTTTTCCTGTTTTACCTACAATCAACAGGATGATGATGTTACAAAGAAGATCATGAAATATGTATCTCCAAGACTTCTGCATGATGTTTGTTGCTGAAGGAATGGTTGTCACCAAACTGAAAGCTGTAAATATCTTAAATATCTGTATTTTGTTTGCATATTGTATGTGTATAGTGCTGAAGGTGTAACTTGACACAGTAAGAATGTGTTTTTATTTTTGGAACATATTCTTATTCCCTTCAGTGGAAAGAAGAGACTTACATGCATGTTGCTAATGCCAGTTGAACACTTAATTTCTTTTATGAAATAGAACATTGCAAGCATGCATGCATGTCCAAGGGTATCGCATACATACAGTTGATTCCGTTTGACCGATAGATATATTTTTATACAATATATTTTCACACAACAGAGCATTAATTAATATACAGTATGTGCATCAAATTAGGATCCCCACCAATGTTGGGATTGATTTTATTATAATTAATATTAGCCAAGTGAACATTATTTTGTGTGACCTCCTTTTGATTTTAGAATATAGCTTTAACTCTTTCTGGCATAGTTCAACAAGTGTTCTAAGTACTACTGGCTTAAGGTTATTCCAGCATTGATTAAGGACATGCTATACAGTAGGTTGTCTTTACTTGTGGTATCATGTTTCACTTTCTCTTGTTTCAAATGGTCCCATAAATTCTCAATAGGATTTACGTCCTGAGATTGAGGAAGAAAATTTTGTAACAACTAAATCGCCTTTCTCGTGCTTTCTTCTTAAATAATTTTTACACATGTGAGAAGGGTGGTTTGGATCATTATCCGTTGCAAGACAAATCTCCTTCCACACAACCTTGAGCTACTGTAGATGGTATAGTGTGATCTGGTTGTTCTGGATTTCTGCCTCAACTTCCAGCCGGACCTAAATCCTATTGAGAATTTATGAAAAGTGAAACA